TGCCCCCCTTTTTGCCGGGGGGGGGTCCCAGGAGTCCGGGAGAGCCCCGTGTCCGGGACCTCTGTGTCCCCATGGAGGTCAAGGTCACCCTGCCCCCCTCCCGGACGCCTGGGCTCCTCGGACACCCCCATTCTGCCTGTGACCCCCCCATAGGGCCATGCTGGACTCCGGGTGTCCCGGACGCCTGGGTCCCTCTGCACTGTGACCTGTGGCTGGCTCCGCGGTGGCTCCCACGCACCAGAGGTGCAGGACACCCATATAGGATTCCGTAACTACGCCAGCATCGTGGCCATATGGGGCAGGGGACCTGGAGGATGGAGGACTGAGCTCCTCAAGACCCCGTGAGATCTTGCCGTGGCTTCCATGTCCCCATACCTCCCTGTGACACCCACTGCATTGAAGCATCACCCAGCCAGAGAAGGATGGAAGCAGCCCGACACCACCATCAACCTGGCTTGTGGCACAGGATGGGCATTGGGTTGTGGTGTCTCCAGCCATGGGGATGTCCCAACTCAGCTGGACATGGCCTTGAGCCACTGTGAGCAGGTCAGGTGGCATGGGATGATCTTCGGAGTCTCCAACATGAGATTTGGGTCACTGTGTGAAGATCCCATTGTGGTCGACTTCCCCGCATGTGACAGAATATGACCCAGTCCTGTTCTGTGTCTTGGACCTCGCTGGTCTTTCAGGCGTTTCCAAGGTCCTGAGGGAAATGGTCATTCCTAAAGTTATCCATCGATCTCTGTCCATCCACATGCCATGTTCAGCTCCCCATTTGACTAAGAAAAACTAAAGCAGAAGTAGCTCAGCGGGGAGAACATCAGACTAATAGATCTAGAGGACCTGTGTTCAAGCGCAGACTACAGCGTTTCTCTTTTGGAAGGTGGGAAGTAAAGCCCATGTGCATGATGAAGGTCTTGTCTGCACATGGACATGGACCTCAGGGAACCTTCCTTTTCCTGCATGTTCAGGCTTCGTTAGGAGATCTTCAGGAACAACATCAACTGCAGCATGTTGTTATCTCTTACTCTGAGGGCAATGAGAAGTGGACTGCTGTTCACTGCAGAAATGTTCAAATTTCGGCCATACTCCTCAAATCTCTCCAGTTGGCCCCAGAAAACTGGCAGAATTGAAGATAATGATGCAGAATACGACAAACTTTCCCGTCTCTGTGAGCCCTCTGCTGCCAGATCCCTGAACTGCAGCCACTGAAGGACAAATTTTGAACAAATTTTCTCAAACGGAAGAGTTTACCAGAGCATGAATGTCCCAGTAAGAGTGACCTCCAACACGACTGTGATGGTATCCACAGAATGAGGTGACCCTCCCACATGTCCATGGCCCTCTGCAATCCCCCCTCCTGTCCCATGCACAAGGTCGCTGGTTCAAGCCAGGGCTTTGGGATTACTGTCCTGGTCAAGGGCATCCGTGTTGGTTCCTCTTGGCCTTTGGAGAGCTGCTCTGTCTCCTGACCATGACCCTGTCACACACGTGATGGCCGTAGCCATGACACAGCTGGGGAGCAGCTCAGATCCACCTTTAAGGGGCTAATACATTGCCCCTTCACATCCTGCCATCCCTCATGTGTCTGTGACCAAGGTAGGAGTCCGGTAGCACCACTGGGGAACTCAAATGGTGTGAGAACCTTTTGGGTGCACGCGTTTGAGCTTTTCCCGCTGCTCCAGAGACGTAAATCTGGCCTGACCGTCTTGTGGGTCTTTT